TAATGACAGTGATGGGTAAAGTTAAGTCATGAACTTGTTTCTTATAATCGTTGTGATGACTTCTGTCGTATTTTCCATTTGTCTAAGGACTTTTAAGCCTTGTGGTGAAACTCTTTCATAGTGTAAGTCATGAGCCTTGGGTTTTTTTTCCATCTATTGTTTTTGCCTAAAGACATTTTCAAGCCTTGTGGCAGTGTAAAGAATCTGTTTTCCAATCATTAGTCTAAGCCATGAGACTTATTTAAGTCTTCAGACTTTTGCTTTAGTCCCTGGTCGTTAATTCCATCCAAAGATTTTGTCTTAGAGACTTTTGTTTCAGCCATTGTCTTTAGAGTTTTAAGTCATGAGACTTCTTTTAAGTCTTGGATTGTTTTTCATCTATAGTCTCTGTCTAAAGACATTTATAAGCCGAGAGAGTTACAGTCATACTCTTTGTCTAGACCTTTGTAAGCCGTTGGTCGTTTTAGCGTTTCTAGTAAGACCTATTCTCCAGCTTGTAGTCGCTAATTCCATCCAACAAGCTGAAACCAAACCCAGTCTTGTTCTACTTTCCAAATATATTCTATGAGACTTACTTAAGCCTTCAGAATTTTGTTTCAGTCCCTCTCTTTAAATCTGACTCATAGTCTTTGTCTTAAGACTTTTCTACTTTCCAATCATATTCTGAGCCATGAGACTTATTTAAGCCTTCGGACTTTTGTTTCAGTCCCTCTCTTTAAATTTTTTGTTTCCTTCATAAGTTCATGAGACTTATTTAAGCCCTGTCTTTAGAGTTTTTTTGTTTCAGTCCTTGTCTTTAGAGTCTTTGTCTTAAGACTTTTATTCAGCCATTGGTCGCTATGATCCAGCAAGCTTACCAAACCCACAGTCTTCTTCTACTTTATAAGCCTTGTGGTGATCGAATAGAAACAGTTCTTGATTCACAGCCTTTGTCTCAAGACTTTTGGTGTTTTCTTAAGGATTCTGTTTTTGATTCGTGGTCTCTGTCTTAAGACTTTTGTTTATTCCATCCAACAAGCCAAAGATCAACCCATATTCTTTTTCAATACTTTTTCTAAGCCGTGAGTGGTATAAATTTAAGAATCTATTCTCGTCTCTCTTTGTCTTTTAAGACCACTTTAAGCCGTTGGTAGTTTTAATCACCACGAGATCTGACTCATAGTCTTTGTCTTAAGACTTGTCTAAGCCATTGGTCGTTTTTGTCCAGCCCTTGATCTTTAAGCTATTAGCCGTTTTTGTCCAGCCCTTGATCTTTTCCACTTTTAAGCCTTGTGGTTATCAAACATAGATAGTTCTCGGGTCATAGGCCAGACTTCTTTAAGCCGATTGGTAAATTAAAGAATCTATTCTCGTCTCACTTTGTCTTTTAAGAATCTATTCTCGTCTCGGGTCATAGGCCAGACTTTTTAAAGCCGTTGGTAGTTTTAATCATCCAACACCACGAAATCTGACTCATAGTCTTTGTCTTAAGACTTGTCTAAGCCATTAGTCTTTTTTTTCCTAAGCTGTGAGTTACCTGCTTTCCTCTCTGTCTTTGTCTATTCCTCTTTTAAGCCTTGTGGTTATCGGGTCATAAGCCTTGGTCTTAAGACTTCTTTAAGCCGATTGGTCGTTTTTTCCCATCCAAATGGTTCTCTCTGTTCTAAGCCGCTGCTTGTTATACGGACTTGTTCTAAGATCTCTGGTCATAACCCTTTGTCTTTAGACTTCTTTAAGCCGATTGATAAATTAAAGAATCTATTCTCGTCTCACTTTGTTTTAAGACTTCTTTAAGCCGTTGGTAGTTTTAATCATCCAACACGACGAAATCTAACTCATAGTCTTTGTCTTAAGATTTGTCTAAGCCATTAGTCTCTTTTTTTTTCCGAAGCCGTGAGTTATCTGCTTTCGTCTCTGTCTTTGTCTTTTCCCACTTTTAAGCTTTGTGGTTATCGAACATCAATAGTTCTTGGGTCATAAGCCTTGGTCTTAACACTTCTTTAAGCCGATTGGTCGTTTTTTATCCCATCCAAATGGTTCTCTCTGTTCTAAGCCGTTGCTCGTTATACGGACTTGTTCTAAGCCGTTGCTCGTTATAGTACATTCCATCAAGCCTTTGGTCGTTATTCTCCATTCCATCCAAATAATCGAACACAGATTTTCTTAAGCCGAGGGTGTAGTAGAGTAAGGATCTGTTTCCCATTCGTAAGCCGTGTGGACTTATTTTGCTATCCCCTAGCATTCTTCCTTAGACATGCACTACCAACCCATATTATCGGTCCAATTAACAATCTTGTTATACGTTTCTTCAAGAGGCAGCAACGGGACAATGTTCCCAAATAAGAATCTGATAGAACACTATTAGATTAGTGTCTGCATATGATCTTTTTTGGGTTTGAAGTGAAAAACAAAAAACATCAAAACAATATCCAAACCAAATAAATCTGGAGAGTGGCTACCTAATCTCTTGGATTTGATAAAACTAAAAAAACAAACAAAAGGCTTTGATTGAAATCTTGTTAAAAGAGGAATTTTCTTGTTGAATCAAAAACCAAACCAGTTAAAAAGAGATCCTTATTTCAAAATCTCCTGACATCATAAGCGTTTAAATAAAGAAAGAATCTCACCGAGTGGAGAACTGATCAAGTGTGTTTGTCCTCCCTCGAAACCAAAACAAAAACAAAACGGGAGACTCTAACAAAGACAGAGAATGTACCTTAAAGATGATTTCACACGGAGTCAAGCTACAAAACAAAACCGGAGAAGATCACTGCAAAAGTTAAAGTCTGAACGGTTAGGAAAACTGGAGGCTAACTGACGGGAAATGTTCATGCACTCTGCCAAAACCATGAAAATATAAAATTATCCAGACTGATAGTGTCCCATGTATGATTCTGACTACAAACAGATATTACCTTGTTTATGCTGCAATTCATCGCTTAGCCTCTCTCATTTATGCTGATATTGTGAAGCCACATCTGCTGCATTATCTTCGTTTCTGAGGAGATAAAACAGAACAATAGTCAGATACAACATAACCATGTTCATCATAAATCCTTACAATTTTAAGGACGCAACTTAGAAACTCTACCATAAACAAAGGCCTCCAAGTGATGATATAAACTGTTCAGACACTAACTACGGAGCTTGTGAGAAACTATACAAGACGATGAATTCACCAAAACCATCTTCAGACACTACTAACTATGGGGCTTATGAGACATTATACAAGAAAATGAATTGAAAAGGTTGCATGGGGAATAAAGATTGCGAGGTTTAACACTCCTAATAGCCAAACCTACGTTGAGAACAGAACATAAAAGCTGAATGAAACCATTTGGGATTCCTGGAATCTAAAATATGTACACAAAAGCTATGAACAGAACATACGGATCTTATCACAGACCTTGACCACCACCGTTTGTTGGATCCAATCTGTATCAAACTGCAAGGAAAGAAGTGATTATACATGTCATGGAAGAACCTAAGAACAAGAAAATAATGTCGAAAAGGTGATAACCGATATAAATGATACCATAGTGTTGTTATATTGACAGTCATCCATGTAAGAGCAGATACACCACCATTTATGAAAGTCTTGCTCTTTGACTTGCCACTCTCTCATGCTTGATCACAATGGTTCCTATGATCCGATTTTGAGTGTTCAAGGCCTTAACAAAGGTGTAGAATCTGGTAAAAAAAAGAAAGATTTCATGATCCGATTTTGAATAAAATTTCAAAACGAGAAAAGGGTAAAAAGAAACCCTAACCCAAGATCGACAACGATTGAAAATTTGAAAACAACGAAATTGAAATCGCCCATTGATACATGAAACTTAGAAACACTAACCAAAGATCACTGCAAAAATCAAACTTGAGAACGATTGAAACTTTTGAAGACAACAAAATCCAAATCGCCAACAGATACATAAAACTTAGAAACCCTAACCAAAGATCACTGCAAAACTCAAACTTGAGAACGATTGGAAAAATCAGAACATCGAAATCAAAATCGCCAAGAGATACAACATGAGAACGATCTACATGAAACTTAGAAACCCTAATTAACAGAGACAAGGACATACCTCGACGACGAGCGAGAAAACAAAGAAACAAAGAAGAAGAAAAAAAATCAAGATCAAAGATTATCCGTTTTGTCAAATCTTCGAAAAATTGATTGGGAGAATTCATCAAAAGAAAAAAAGAAGAAGAGAAATAATTCGGGATAAAATTTGTGAAGAAGTGTGGAAATAAAATTTGAAAGAAATGTTATCTTGCGTTTGACAAAAAGCAATTTCTAACGGTTATATATATATATATATATATATATATATGACAAAATGTTGTTTATAGACGATTTATTGCGTCACTCGTTTTTCTATTATAAATTTAAGTCGATTTCGTTTGTAATTGAACCGGTTCTGCGTAAAACCGAAATATGCAAAAGAGAATTTATTGCTTAATCCCACCCAAACTCTGAAGCTAAGATCTTTCGAAATTTAATGCTTGAACAAGAATATGCAAAAGAGAAAGGTTAATATTAGCGTGTGTTTGTTAATATATATAAAAAAATATAACAGTTAATTCATATGGTATAAGAGTTTATTTGTTTTATTTTATAAATTGTAGTAGACGAATTGAATTATCTCATCCATCATCTCCTATTTTTTTAACTTACTAATACAAATCTGATAAAAAGCAAATCCGATCATTTACCAAAGCAAATGGAGTATTAATGATTATCATTAGGACTATAAATCGAGTTGTGAATATAATTATTTTAATTAATTTATTTATCGTTAAACCTAAAGTCGTGATATAATCACCCATTTACTAAAAATATAAATAGACAGACACAATATTTCAAAAAAAAAAATCTGGATATAAAATATGTAATTTTTAAATAAAACCAGGAGGAGTTGAAGCACAAAAATCTCGGTTCTTAAAATATAACAGACCAAATCACACACTTGTCTAAATGGCCAGTTGACCGGTTCGACCGGCAGTCTAGGTGTATAGTCTTTTAGAACATTTCTCGTTCCAACTTCCAAAACATCTCACACAAATGTCCAAATGAAAGATATACGAAGAAATGTATTTGATGTCCAAATGAAAGATATACGAAGAAATGTATTTGATTTTTACAAGATGTTAGATGGTCTTACAACTCAATCTCGATAACACTCCTAAACAAAGTTACATCACACAAAAAAACTTTGCACATCTCAATTTTATATATAGCCAAAGGACTTTTCTGTTGCTTCTTTTCGGCGGGAACTTTGATCAGTACTTAAAAGAAACCTTCTGTTGCATTTAAAGTGTTTGTAATATGGTTTAGCCACCCATACCTACTCTCAATACAGAGCTTCCCTTGGTGCACCGATTAAGTTAAGTGCGGTTGCTGCAATATGAGACGGCATGAGCCCAGCTTCAGCCATTTGATCAGCTGGTGAGCCATGGTCAATGTACCGATCAGGCAATACCATTGGTCTCCACTGTACAAAAATGAACATTAGTGGCAATATTAGAAAAACCACAGATTTCAAAAACAAAAACAGAGCAAAATTATTAGAAATATATGTATAAAGTTGTGTAAAACCTTGAGCTTCCCATCAAGAAGACCATCTAGAGCAAGAAACTGAACAACATGCGATCCAAACCCTCCAATGGAACCTTCTTCAACCGTGATCAGAACCTCGTGCGACTTGGCTAAGCTGCGAATGAGAGCACGGTCCAATGGCTTGCAAAACCGTGCATCTGCCACGGTTATGTTTAAACCGCGTTCTTCGAGCATCACAGCCGCTCCTAAACAGCTCTGAACCGCTGAGCCATAACCCAACAAAGCAACCCTCTCTCCTTCTTTCAAAATTCTACCTTTACCAATCTGAAACACATCCAAAGAGATAACATTTTTTTATCAAAATGATGAAAGGAAGAGAGAGACCGATATGAGATGGATCAGTTTAAGCTATGTATACCTCAATGGGAACACCTTTGTTTCCGGGAGGTAACGGGACACCAATACCGTTACCTCTAGGATAACGGAAACAAGAAGGACGATCATCAATAGCAGCAGCGGTTGCAACAATGTTAAAGAGCTCTGCTTCATCTGATGGAGCCATCACTATCATGTTAGGAAGACAAGCCATAAACGTCACATCAAAAGCTCCACAATGTGTTGGACCATCAGCTCCCACAAGTCCAGCTCTATCCATAGCAAATCTCACCGGTAGCTTCTGCAGATCAACATCATGTACAACCTGCAGAGAAAAGCCCATCACATACTCTATTAGTTTCAATTTGAAAGTTAAAGATGATCAAGATTCAAGATGTTGAACTTGCCTGGTCATAAGCACGCTGCATGAAAGAAGAATAGATTGCACAGAAAGGCTTAAGCCCTTCACATGCTAAACCCGCAGCAAAAGTAACCGCGTGTTGTTCAGCTATCCCGACATCGAAACATCTCGTTGGAAAGCGGCGCTGGAAGAGATTCAACCCCGTCCCACCTCCCATGGCTGCATGAATCGCAACCACATCTTTGTCTACCTCTGCTTCAGCTACTAATGCCTCCGCAAAGTAAGTGGTGAAAGACTGAGTCTTGTTACTACTCTTGAACTGTTTCCCCGTCGCTGGATCGAATTTCACAACACCTGAAAGAAAAAGAATCAACATATATGTCAATCTACTTAAGAACTAAAGAAAAACGTTGTTGATCCGTTTAAGACTATTTACCATGGTATTTGTCGTCAGCTCTCTCTGCGTAAGGATAACCACGACCTTTCTCTGTTATGACATGAATAAGCACCGGTCCTGTGGTTCTTGCACTCTTAACTTCTTTAAGAATAGCTACTAAATCATCTATGTTGTGCCCATCGACAGGACCAATATAGTACAGACCGAGCTCTTCGAACAGTGTGGATCCAGTCCCGCTTATCATCCCACGAGCATACTCATCTACCTTAGCAGCCAGTTGGTGCATTGGCCCTCCTATTTGCTTCGTCACACCCTATACACAACAAAAGCTAAAATCTTTATTCACTCCATTAAGGAGTTCTTTACACTACTAGACAAGAAATGGAATGTAACTTGCCTTTGCGACTTCTCTCAACTCTCTGAGAGCAGGGTTAGACTGTAAACGACTAAGAGCACTGCTCAATGCTCCAACCGGTGGACTCGGTCCATCTAAAGTAGCAGTAGGTAAAGAGACTTGCTTGTTGTCATTAAGAATCACAATCATATCGGAGTCAAGATATCCGGCGTTGTTCATGGCTTCATAAGCCTGCCCTGCCGTCATTGCGCCATCACCGATCACAGCAACCACATTGTTGTTCTTCCCCTTCAAATCTCTTCCTACCGCCATTCCTGTAAACTCAAACTTCTGATTAAGTTTTTTGCTTTCTTGTTACCAAACCACAAGGCAAAAGACATGAAAGAGATTTTGGCTTACCTAAGCCAGCAGATATTGTGGTTGAGCTATGTCCGGTACCAAAGCAATCATGTTCGCTCTCTCCTCGTTTGGTGAAACCGGAGAGACCATTGGTTTGCCTCATTGTTGGCATCTTTGCTCTTCTCCCGGTAAGAATCTTGTGAGGGTAAGACTGATGACCAACATCCCAAAGAATCTTGTCCTGTGGAGTGTTGAAAATGTAATGAAGAGCCACAGTGAGCTCCACAACACCAAGACTTGAACCCAAGTGTCCACCGGTTTTCGAAACGTTGAAGATCACATCTGATCTCAGCTCATCAGAGAGTTGTTTCAGTTCCTGCCAATGAGTTAAATCCAAATGCCATCAATACGAAGCTGAAAACAGATGGATCAAAGGCTTTTGGGTGACTCAAGTTTTCTTACCTTGACAGAGAGATTTTTCATGTGGATTGGGTAATTGATTGTGTCAAGTAATGGAGTTGGTGGTCTGTTTGAATAGTATTCACCCTTCTCTGCAAGTGAAGCACTCACTTTTGCCTTTCTGTTTGACTGCACACAAACCCATATGGAACAACAACAACAACATCAGAATAAAAGCTGTCATTTTCTCCAGAGACTAGAATTAAAGAGGCAAATGATTGATCTAAGTACACAAACAATTTCAATAAAGTAACAAAGAAAAAGGGTCTGAATTGTTTGACTTCTGGCAAAAATGAAGTAAACCCATTATTTAATTCAGGATTTTGCCAAATGGGTTACTACAAAATCTCAACAAAAAGCTACAGTTGACCTTTAATCTAAAAAAGGTTCCTGAATCATTTTTCATCGATGAAACCAAAAAGAAGAGAAGTGATCTTACATGGGAATTGTTGGGTTTCAGACATGGCGATGGAAGATCTGTAGCCAAAGATCGAGAAGAAGACAGAGAAGTTGATTTACAAGAATCTGTTAAAACTCCTTTGGTTATTATGTAAGAAGGAAAAGCAAATGCAGATGAAGCCATTAAAAGGGAAAAAGAAGAAAACTTGAAAAACTTTGGGGAAATGTAAGTAAATCAAAAGATTTATAAGAAACAAAGAGAATCTAATTAGAAGAAAAAAGAGAACTGAGGTTATCAAGAACAGTAAAAAATCAATAATTGTACTTTAGAATCCACTAAAAATGAGAAGTGATTGATGATAAAATGTGGTTGAGGTGGTGACAGTGGTGGAGAGTTGAAGACGAAAAGATGGAGACTTTTTTAATGGGTGATGAAATAAAAAGACAAAAAAGCCAAATTCATGGATTACGAAATTTATGCAACGGTGTTTGATATTTGAACAGAGAGACAAAAAAGCTCAAAAGATATTGAAGATGATTCGTCATCCGCAGAGATGTTGAGATTTTGGTTGGGCCACGTCAACCAAGAAATCCAAGTTTTGGATAGATATTGATATATGTTACCTATATAGGTTTTTTTTCTTCTTTATATGGTTTTTGAAAATAATATTTGATCTTCATCCAGTGAACGTATGTGCCAAAGATGAGAAATTATTTCAAACTAATTTTAGAAAAAGTTACGATTATTGTAGTATGATAGAAGTTTTTAAGAAAATCAGGATTTGTTAATAAATATTTCAAAAATGAAGATATTTAGCCAAATAAAACATATTTAAAGAAATGTTTTTACTATATAGTTTAATATTTCTAATTTCTGATTACAAAATGAAAAAAAAATTATCTTACGTTACACATAGCATATATTATACAACTCATAGAATATTTAATACCTAACTAATATATCTGGTTCAAATTAGTGAATGTAGAATTATATTCAACCAATAAAACCAGTTTTACATCAAGTGCATCTGTGTTCTAACATTAATTGATACTAGTTAAACACAAAATTTATGATCTCATGAGCCACTAGCCGCGAACTAGGTGTGTACTAGATTTGTCGCGAGCAATTAGTGTTGATTTATTTCTTACAGTTTTATTTATCAATAAGCTTGATGAGTTTTTGATGGACTAGCTTAGTTTGGTTCTCCATGTGGCTTGGAAAACATACGCGAATGAGGAAATTTTCAATGAACCGAGGACGTATTCGTTGAGATGAGAGATACGATTGAATCCATCCCGAAGCAAGATTTTGACAGAGCAGATATTGAAATTAGTTACTATCTTTAAGATATGCATTCATGATTTAACCGATTTGACCCCAATTATACTAACAAGTGAAGAAGAGATGGCTTAGTTACTATCTTTAGACTTTAGAGTGTGACTTAGTTCTATAGAATGATCTTTAAACTTGTCAGTTAACAATCCTTTAGTTTTAAAAGCCTCTAAGCAGAGAGACCTTCCAAGTTTCAAAGCCAAGCCCATGTCTGTGGCCATCATTTTATTAAACTAATTTTGGCCTTCAAGTTTACAAAAATGATTTTTTTTTTATTTAGTGCCAAAATTATTCTAAAAAATATTCAACGAAATCACAAGTTTAAAACACAGGCCCAACTATTATTATTTTGCGGTCTTTTAAGATTCAGAATCCGCTCATAACAATCATTTTTCCATCTTAATTCTCATGTTTCAAACTTTTGTGTAAAACATATTCACGGAATAATAAGGGACAAAACCAAGAAAAGAACCAGTCCTTTTTTATTCAACCTAGGTTTGCTAGTGAAGTTTTCCACATGTTAGTATGTTACTATCGAATCTTGTTGTACGGGTGCTTCGTTGCGGTATAAGAGTTCAAGGTTTTTGTTTTAAAAGTTTTCGAAATGTTTCTCATAACAATGTTTTATTTCACATATTCATAGTTTGATTGTTTCATGAATCCTAATGATGTAGATGGCTAGAGAAAGGATAAGATTTTCTCCCGTACCTATCCAAAATCCCTATTTTCAGAATTTTCTTGTCCCTATTTGGGATTTTCGGGATAAGTCTTGAAACTCTTTGTTTGGTACGCCGGTTCGTCGTTACTATCAAATGATATGGTGAATATAAGTTAAAGACTAATTGTAAACTTAATAGTTTATATATCCTTATTATAGAAACAATAAATATAGTCAATCATTGACAATAACTAAATTATATCTCGGGGTTTGTACTAGTGCTACCATTATGTCATAACCTAAATCCAAATCCGAGAACATGCATCTGTGAATTATATAGACTATAAAAAGAAAACAAATTACGACGTACTTAATTACACTGTTATACATATATTTACTCTTCTTAGCATATATATATCTTCGAGACTTCGACCACAACATCGTTCTCATTGTTAACAAAAAATGTTGAATAAACTCTCTTGGTGCATGCAGGTCCCCTTAAATTCAACATACAGTATTTTCCTCTGACTTATTCGTACTTTAGATTTAAAGACTTGGTGAAATAATGATGAAAGCCACTTAAGACTGTCTCAGTAAATTCGGTCTTTTTATTTTACACGCACGGTGAATGTTCTCTCTCTCGTTCGTTTATATCATCACTTCATAATTTTGTCTGGCCAAAATAGCATATCCACTGAATCCAAACAACCTAACTTTTAAATTTCGTCATCACTAACGTCATAAAATTGAGTTGTCCAACGTAGTTAGTGGGTTGCTCAAAGCTCTTTTTGTTTTTAATATATCTTTTTGTTGTCACTTAGATCTGTGTCAGTATAATCTCTATATAGATCCAAACTTATGTCTTTCATTAGCTACACCATCAAGAAAATTAAGAGAAATGGATGAAAACAATAATTCGAAATCTCCGACCGGACCACACTTCTTGTTCGTGACATATCCAGCACAAGGCCACATCAACCCATCTCTCGAGCTCGCTAAACGCCTCGCCGGAACCATCGCCGGAGCTAAAGTCACCTTCGCGGCACCAATCTCCGCCTACAACCGCCGTATGTTCTCCAAAGAAAGTGTCCACGAAACCCTAGTATTCGCCACTTACTCCGACGGCCACGACGACGGCTTCAAGTCCCCTGCTTCCTCCGACAAATCTTTCCAAGATTCCGCCGGACAATACATGTCCGAGATGAAACGACGTGGCAGGGAAACCCTAACCGAACTAATCGAAGATAACCGGAGTCAAAACCGGCCTTTTACCTGCGTGGTTTACACGATCCTCCTCACTTGGGTCGCTGATCTGGCGCGTGAGTTTCACATCCCTTCTGCTCTTCTCTGGGTGCAACCCGTAACTGTTTTCTCCATCTTCTACCATTACTTCAACGGCTACGCAGAAGAAATCTCTGAGATGGCTAATAACAACCCCTCTGGTTCTATCAAATTACCGTCTCTGCCACTGTTCCGTTTCCGTGATCTTCCTACGTTCCTCGCGCCTAAAAACGCATATGCGTTTATTCTACCGGCGTTTCGAGAACAGATTGAGTCACTGAAACTAGATGAAAACCCTACGATCCTCATTAACAGTTTCCAAGAGCTTGAAGAAGAAGCTCTAAGCTCGGTTCGTGATTCTATCAAGATTGTCCCCATCGGTCCGTTGATAACCTCGAGGACTGATTCGGGGACTCGAGCTGAACACGTTGAGTGGTTGGATACAAAAGCGGATTCGTCTGTGCTTTATATTTCGTTTGGGACGCTTGCCGTGTTGAGCAAGAAACAGCTTGCGGAGCTCTGCAAGGCGTTGATACAGAGCCGGAGGCCGTTCTTGTGGGTGATTACGGATAAATCGTACAGGAGAAAAGAAGATGGGGAAGAGAAAGAAGAAGAGATCATAAAGAGTTTCAGAGAAGAGCTCGATGAGATAGGAATGGTGGTTTCTTGGTGCGATCAGTTTAGCGTTTTGAACCATCGGTCGATCGGTTGTTTCGTGACGCATTGCGGTTGGAACTCGACGCTTGAGAGTTTGGTCGCCGGAGTTCCGGTTGTGGCGTTTCCACAGTGGACCGATCAGATGACGAACGCGAAGCTTCTAGAAGATTGTTGGAGGACAGGTGTGAGAGTGATGGAGAAGAAGGATGAGGAAGGAGTGGCTGTGGTGGAGAGTGATGAGATACGGCGGTGCATTGAGGAAGTCATGGAGGAGAAGGCGGAGGAGTTTAGAGGAAACGCGGCGAGGTGGAGAGATTTAGCGGCGGAGGTGGTTAGAGAAGGAGGCTCTTCGTTTAATCATCTGAAAGCTTTTGTTGAGGAGCGCATGTGAGATTCGGTCTCTGAGAACTCAATTCTGCATTTCCTTTTTAAAACTATTTCAGTTTAACTTTCAAATTTATTTAAGTCTATCAAATTGCAGATGTGATTGATTGGTTTTGAAGATGATGATAGAGAAAGAAAGAGAGATAGATACACGACGAGCATAAATGATACAATCAAATCGTCCGTTTCACTTGGTCTTACTTGACTGCCAAGAAAACAAAGAAATTGAATGTTTTGCTTGCAGATTGAATCTTAAGTTGAGGAGTATAAAAACTTTACGTGTAACAGAAGAAGCAAACTCTCAGTGAGCGTTGCGAGTGATCAAGCCCTCGAATATCACGTACAGATCTCTGTTATCGCTTCCAAATATCTCTTCAGCTTTCCTAAGCGTTTCCTGGAAAGCAAACACAGCGGATTGAAATCAAAAAGAAGGTGAAAAAAGGATCGAGAGAAACAGAGAAACAATATTCTCCTTACTTCTTTTGTTTGTTTGTGAGCGTTAAGATCCTTAACATTTCCAAGAAATGCACCAAACTGCTCGTAAGATAACCGGCTCCTGATCAACAATCAATAACAAGAATGTAGATATGTTAAGAGACAAATCCTATATAGAGTGTTTGTAAGAATCTTTCACATCACGAGTCTTCTTTACCTGACTTGTCGAAAGAACTCTTTTCCATCAACCCGAGTTCTTCCTGAAAACACAGAGATAACAAACAAACCCTTAAACACTTTGTGTTGTTCCAAAACCTCCAGAAAAATCCTGCGTTTTTTTTTTTAACTTACCGGTGTGTGATCCAGGCTCTGAGATTGAAATAGAAGATCTGGTACTGTCATCAAACATGCCTCTTGTGGTAGCGAAAGATACAGAGTGGCGTCGAGGAGAGAGAGGTCTCGAAGTAGTTTTAGGGGTAGTAGAAGCAGAGAGTGTTGGTGGAGAACCAGGAGGAGTAAGCCGAGGAGTGGTGGTTTGAGATAGTAATGGGAGACTGTTTGATAAACTCGGTTTAGGAGCTGCAATGTATAATACAGAATCTTGAGCGTTACTCACACAAAAATCAAAAAGCTTTAGTGGCTAAAGAGTCGAGATTTATACTACCTTCGTTGTTTTCGTTTTCCATTGTAGCTGGTTCAATGGCTTCAGAAGCTTGAGACTGGATTAATGAATGCCTCGAAGGTTGAAACGGAGAATCTTCATCTGAAATTTTTCAAAACAATAGTATATAAATACATATATACATCACTTTATTACAATTGTGGAATCTGGTAGAAGACAAGAACTATATATTATGTACCATTTGGTGTTGGCTTAGCAATGATTTGTGTTCTTCCTGCCTGTTGAAAACACAAACATTACTCAAATTAATAAGATTGTGACTTTTTATTATTATTTCAAAATTCCAAAGCAAGTGAAGAGCTTTTAGTTTCATACATTTTGGTCGTCATCTTGAAGAGACATCATAAGCGTCTTCCTGAAACCTTCGAGCTACAACGATTTCGCAAAAAAAATTCATCAAATCAAATTTACATGTTAACTCCATTGAAACATCATCTCTCAAGCTCCATAAAACTCAGATATTGCTATAATTAGAAAAGAGTCCATATTTTTAGTCCAATTTTTTTACCTTTGAGACATCTCTCTGAAGTCTCTTCACAGTACTAGACAAAGAAGAATTCTCTCTCAGCAGATTCTCCTGCAAAGTTTTTGAGCTGATTAGTTGAAGACAAACGAAAATTGGAATCGATTCGGGTCGGGTCGGAAGTCAAACTTCGGGTCGGACCTTTTCACCGTCGGCGAGAGAAAGCTTGTGAAACGCATCGGAGAGAGTCGCGTCGAGAGACTCGACTTGCGATTGGAGCTCGGCGATTTCTCTCTCCTTCTCGGCGAGAAGCTCCCGGAGATCGGACGACTCTGATTCGAGAGCAGAGACACGTGTCGAGAGAGCAATGGATGTGATCTTGCGGGCCACATCTAGCTGCTCGAATGGATCGGACGGTAGGACTTTAAGAACTTCCTCGGGAAGATCGAAACTTGTCGAACCTGTAACCGCACTCGATCTTTCTTCTTCTTCTTCTTCTACCTCTGACATTTTTTTATTTTTTCGTACAGTATTTTGATCTTTTCTTTTTGTTTCCTTTAGTTTCCTCTTTGGTCTTTTTCTTTTTCAGTTTTTATCGTTTTATTCTTTCGTACCATACGTATTCCGTTAGTGTTACGGTATAAACCGGTATTATGTTTTTCTTATTCCAAAACCGAAATTCGAGTCTAAACCAAACAATTTCTTGATTACATATTTTAAATTCATCGATGGAGAGAAGTTTACACGCAAAATCCTAATGCATGTCAACGCTAAAGAATTCGGTTCTAGAAAATAGAATTCCGGTTTTGGGGTTGAAATTCCGGTTCGGTTACGTAATGTTGATATGATTGATAGACGTGAAAGGATATAGAGAATGTGGTCACGTATGCTTTGTCTTTTATGTTTTGTGATATGATATAATGTGTGGTATTGAATGGGTAAGCCAAGTTTGTGATCTGTGAATAATTCATATATATGAGTAATAGGACCCTTTGAAAAGAGACAAACCTAAACTTGACAAAAAAAAATTAAGGGGAAAATGTTGATTTAGTAGTAGTCCCCATCTTTTCCAAATTGACAGAAAATAGAAAAACCTCAGCTTATTCGTTAAACAAAAAAAAAAATCCTAAGTTTGAGATCAACTTCTTAAATCTATAAGCTAATTCGACTTCCCCTACCTGCGAAAAGTGAATAAGACGTGTACTAATTTTTCTTAATTAGAAAAAACATTTAGGTCAACCTGGTTTAAAAAAATTGTATAGCAAACTAAGTGGTGATAGTTTAGTAGTTTTCACTTAAGGAGAAGTTGCCATGTTAGTCGAGACCAGAAATCGATTTCCCTCAAGTGTAAAATTGCTAAACTAATTTTATTTAGCCACACGGATATGAGCATATGCTTTTGACCTAATTGAATATCCAAAAAGAAGGTCTATCCATGAACTGCATCTAACTAATCAAATGTTATCCATTTCTAACAAAACAAACTCTACAACTGAATATGGGTTTTGAAGTGAAGAATCGAGCTAAAAAGAATATGGGAACTAATTAAACTCTCGATTAGGATCATTCTGGTCTGTCCTGTCCAATATCCTTACGAGTTTCTATTATCCAAATGCTTATGTCTCTATTTAAACTTCTTCTGTGTTTGATTTTTAAATCAGTTTGTAGTTAAAATATTATATTTCTTAAATTAACTTAAAGTTATTTGCACATATGTATTTGTGTAATGACTTTTCTAAATGTAAGTTTTTATCTTACCCATTTTTACTGCATGTTAAGAATAAATTTTTTTGTACATTTAAAAACATTAAAATGCTTGCATAGTATATCCAAAATTATACATAGGAAAAAAACCAATTTCTAAAACATCAGCAACTTCTTAAACTTTCTAGTATGATTGACTACAACTTATATAAAGGATACGATACATGTTCATGGTTTTTTTTTGTTTTGATTATGAACCTATTTTATAGATGGGTCAATCGGGTGTATCTCCATATTTTGTTTTTATTATGAACCTATTTTATAGATGGGTCAATTGGGTGTATCAACATATTGGACCTGATACTAAAGAATATAACCATGTAATTTTGGTTGTTTGGAGTGTTCTTATGACTTTGTAAATAGTGTGTAATTCATGTAAAGATGTCAGAACAAAGGTTAAATGAGATTTGGATTTTTGCTGGTTTCCCCTTGCTTTTAGATCTTATAAGTTTGATCCTTTCATTTCAAATTTGCTTTGGTTCGATTAAAAATTGTAGCTCTATCTTTTAGTTTCATGTTTTATTGTGTTTTTGAGGATATCCTTTCTTTCTGTCGTTTTTGTATCCTACTTTGTATTTCATTCTGTATTTTGCCCTGTATTATGCTTTGTCATAGCTTAAAAATGAAAATTCAGTTGATAAAAAAAATAAAAAACCATGTAAAACATATAATAAAATATGTAACTCAAAACACTATTTTTATCCTTTTTACTCTTCATATAGTAAAATAGTATAATATATAAACTCAAATAACATAGAATATAATATTTATTTATTTTTCAGCAGCAGTTTAGATCGATTTATACTGTTTGGACTTAACGCCTTATTTATATCTTGAGAAAATTACGCCCAGTGATACTTTTTAGACTTTTCTTTACATGTTTAGACACTTCTAACTAGTGACACTCTTTCTGTTTGCGAAAAGACTGAAATACCTCCGCCACAGATTTAACACTAGAAATATTTACAGTTTTAGGTACTTTTTGACTTCTCAATTACATTTAAGGAACTTTGAGATACAGACACACTTTCAACGTTTGATAAATCTATTTTGCCCTTATTTACACATCATTATATTTTACCTTTACTTTCGATCAAAATCTAATTTACTACATACCACCATCTCAATTATTGCCAACTCTTCTGCCGTTTCTAAAATCTCCAGCCAAATATTTGAGTTGTTTACAAGTCAGAGTACTTTGATGTGTTTGAGTTACATTTAAAGCACTTCTGGCAATTCGGTGACTTCTGCTTAAAAAGGACTTGTAGTTTTACCATTACACCCTTAATGAAATGACTCAGTTAAAATTGGTTATCATTTTACTATGTGTTTTTTAACTAGACGGATTTATATTTGACGGTGGTCGTGTATACATTTTAACACCGGCGTAGTTATATTCGCCGGTGACCAGAGTTAATCTAAGTGAAAATTGTGACCTCCACTATCTGAGATAGCTGTAGTAAAATGGTGATTTTGATATTGTTATCCGGCAATTATTCAAGTATATTTATGAAGCATCGATGAAGGATCTATTATGCAAATCCCTTGCTGCTTACGTACCAGAGCTTTTGTATGAACAACGTACAAACGCTCCTGTCCACGCACATATATCCACATCCGAATCTAGGGCGAACGCCTAAGTTTATATTGTTCAATTACATAAACATCGTCGACCAAAGTCCACGGATCGATGTCCAATGGATAGTAGACATGGTCATAACAGATAACCGTTATCGATCCCTTTAAGCAATCTCAAACATCGAGCAAACCCTCCCACGAGAAGCCTGTCCAGGCATAGTCGAACACGGCCCTGATCTTTATTTAAAAAAAATAAACGAAATTCTGAATCGTAGACGCTGTACACTACCAGCTGTCCATGGTGATGGCTGTTAAAGAATCGGTGAAGGATCTATTGTGTTTCTGTATAGTTTTTCAGAATTTTCTTCGCTTCCCTTGCCGTGTGTGCGCGTTAGATTTGGAAGCGTAGACTCTATCCACTGCAGGTTGTCCATCTCGATGGCTGATATATACCGCAAGATATGGTCATTGTATAGTAGACGCATTGAATGATGAAAAAAGCGGGAGATTGTGGATGCTAATATCGAGGAAACTGTAAACTATTAAGCTGAGCCACGCGATTAACAATATTTTAAATGACTAACTGATCATGTGGTTCAGCTTAAAACACGGTGTGGGGGTAGATGAACCTATTTGTAGAGTATGTCAGATACTTAATGCATTTAAGGGAACCCCAATAGTTTCATAGCTTGTTAGAAGGAGATATTTTGGTTTGGAGTTATTGCAGGCTGCGAAATGGAAGACCATTGTCTCGTAATAGCAGGGGAGTGGGTGTGCGGCGAAAACGCGAAATGGGATTTTGTCGTTGACAAGCAATGGATGTCTAGAATTCTTCCAATGAGAGAGAGTATGAAAATTGTTGATTTGAAAGCAGAGGTTTTGAAGGAGTTTATCGATGGCGCATTGTCTGGGGAGACCGTTATTCTCAGCTACTGGCCGCCAAACACGAACGAGCTGGCGACAGGGATCAAGACACCACTGGTTGTGGTCAGTAATGAGGGGAGAATTAGTTTTTTTTTTAAACATTTCAGAGTGAATGAGTCTATGAACCTTTTTGCCACATTCTCGAAAGGGTATATTCCATCGGGTACAGTAGGATACATAACCCCAATACCCTCCTCTATGAGATTAGGTTCAACAGAGCTAAGTGCTTTGCGAATGAAGTCTGTTTCGTTTGCTTCTGGAGCAAACAGCAGACCTTGTTTCGCCGTAGTGGAGAGCGTTGTACCTAGCAGCAAAACATTCGTTGAGACTGATAGTGCGTCCTTCACCAATTTGAAGCGGCAGACAATTTTTAGTTCAGTTAGTGGAGGTTTGTCGAGCAGTTTTCCTTTCAATATAAACGCTTTAGATGTGGACAGCGTAGCGGAGTTGCGTTCTGGCGATGTTAGCGATTTCCCGTACGAGTTGAGCGATGCTGACATTATAAATGAAGTGGAGTCGGTGGAAAATCGGTTACATAACAGTAGGAACTCATCAAGTGAAGGTACAAATGAGTTTGATGAAGATGATTACTGCGGTGTCCTGGACGACGACGAGGATGTTGTATCCGTTGGTTATGATAATGAGTTCTGGGAACCGTTGATCGATGAGGCACTCGGTGGATCTGATGCCGTCGAGTTTATGCGTCCAACGGTAGATGGGTTTGACGGGAAAGCAGCTTCGGTTGGGCTTATGTGCGATGTTTTGGGCGTAGCAGAGGGTGATGGAAATCGTTGCAGTGGACATGTTAGTGGTGATGTGGTTAGCAAATGGACGACGGGTGGTGGACATGTTGAAGGAGAGCATTGGTCAGCGTCAAGTGGTCGAGTAAATGAAGGTACTTTTCCTGGCGTAACCACACCACCACGGGCTAGTGGATATTCGCGGAACAATGGGGTGCCGCTACACCTCATTGACAATGATGAGTTTGACATTCCCCCAATGTTCGATGATGTTGCTTATGCTTATGAAGAAGTTCCGAACTTGGATTTAGCGGGGGTTGATGAAAGAATTTTTGAAGGTAAATTGTTTGGTAGTAAACAGGATTGTTGCATAGCGCTTGCCATATATGCGATTAAAGCAATGTTTACATTCAAGCAGCGTACAACAAAGAGGCATTATTTTGTTGTTAGCTGCACTGATGCCCGTTGTGTGTGGAGTGTGTTGGCACGAGAGGTTGGCGATTGCGGCTACTACGAAATTAAGAAAGCCAATTTGGAACATACTTGTGATAGAGATACTAGGAATGCGTACAAGAAAAAGGCCACGGCTCGAGTTATTGCAATGGTATTCAAAGCAAAGTTCGGTGAACCGGAGAATGGACCTCGGGCGGCGGAGTTGCAACAAATGGTACTCGAGTACTTGCGCGTGGATGCATCATACATGACTTGTTACCGAGCAATAAGTAAAGCGGTTGAGGGTGTTAGGGGATCAGATGAAGACTCTTATAGTCGGCTACCAATGCATTTACATATGTTAAAACTGGAAAATCCTGGTAGCATGACTGATTTGGAGGTGGAGATAGATGAAGCCGGGTTGCAGAGGTTCTTGTACGTGTTTGTAGCATTTGGAGCGTCGATTATGGGTTTTAGGAAGCTTAGGTCGGTTATTGTTCTCGACGGGACCCATTTGTAGGGTAAGTATAAAGGTGTATTGCTGACTGCATGCGGGCAAGATGCAAATTTCCAGGTTTTCCCTCTGGCATATGCAATTGTAGATAGTGAGAATGACAAATCATGGATATAGTTCCTTGGGAGGCTGGAAAAAATATTGGCAGATAGTCCGGTTTTGACTATAATCTCTGATCGCCATCAGTCAATATACAAGGCAGTGAGGATAGCCTATCTTAAGGCTCGACATGGATGTTGCATAGTACATCTCGCTAGGAATGTGGCTAGCAAATTCCACAACAAAGGGCTCGCAAAGTTGGTTGTTGGTGCTGCTTTTTCATACATAGTTGGTGTGTTTAAGCAGTATTTTGAGAAGATAAGATCCAGTAGTGGTGAATGCGCAAGGTATTTAGAGACTGTAGGGATGGCTCACTGGAGCCGTGTGTATTGCACCGGGGAGCGTTATAATATCATGACAAGTAATGCTTGCGAGCAATTGAATAAGGCTCTTAAGAAGGGGAGAGGATGTCCTATTGTTGAGCTTTTGAAGTTTATTCAGGAGATGATGACTCGCTGGTTCAACACCCGAAGGAAGAAATCTTTGAAGCATCGCGGTAGTGTGCCTCCGGAGGTGGAGAAGGTGTTAGCTATTCATACGTCTGATGTGAAAGGTACGAAATTAAACACTATAAATGATTGGAGCTGTCAGGTGGTAGGACCGTTTAGTGAGACCAACAAAGTCTGTTTGACGGAGAGGAGTTGTACGTGCAAGAAATTTGATAGACTCAAAATACCATGTGGTCATGCACTGCTAGTGGCGGATAGCCTCGGTTTGGCTGCGAGCTCGCTGGTGGGTGTAGCGTACCGCCCAACGACGTGGAGGGAGACGTATGAAGGCATTATTAACCCTGTGGGGAAACCGGAAGATATGGAGGTACCAGCGGAGGTGAGTGAAATGGTGCTTCTGCCACCACGACGGAGGAAGGGTTCTGGTAAGCGTAAAACTACAGGCATTCCATCCGTTGGAGAAATGCCAGTGAGTTTTTGTTTATCTGTCAAATAATATGTGTGGGTAGTTATGTATTTTGAATTTAGAGTTTTGATTTACTTGCAGATTACTCGGGTGAAGAAAGACAAACCAAAATAGTGTTCGAAATATTTCCAGCTTGGACATAACCGTTCAATTTGCCTGAAAGGAAATTGAGAGGAGGATTTATGAAACCGCTAAGATGGAGAATCTGATTCGTACGATGTTGTGCTGTTTTTGGAAATTAAGATGCCTAAACTGTTGTTTTTCAGTAAATTGGGGCTTGTTTTGGTAATAGTTAGTTAACTATGTAATGTGTGTTGTGTATTTTCTTTAATCTACTGGACTTTGCGGGAAAAATTAAGTTATGATGTTGCGTTGTAAGTGTGGTATTTGTTAGTTTTGTGAGGGGTTGGTGATGGTTGGATATATATGGATGGTTGGACATGGATTGAATAAATGCTTGGATATTTGAGCAAAACATAGTCAATGCTCTGTTAATTGAGCTATGTTAAGAGAACTATCCCAAAGACATTTGATTTGTGGGCTGTGTTTCAGATCTCTAAAGAGTGGTATTTGTTAGTTTTGTGAAGGGTTGGTAATGGTTAGATTTATATGGATGGTTGGGTATGGATAGAATAATTGCTTTGATATTTCAGCAAATCATACTCAATACCCTGTTAATTGAGCTCTGTTAAGAGTACTATCCCAAAGACATTTGATTTGTGGCCTTGGTTTCGGATCTCTGAAGGGTGGTATTTGTTAGTTTCGTGAGGAGTTGGTAATGGTTAGATATAAATGGATGGTTGGGTATGAATAGAATAAATGTTTTGATATTTCCGCAAATCATACTCAGTTGCTCTGTTAATTGAGCTCTGTTAAGAGTACGATATCTGTAACTTACTGTCTTCTTTGACAAAATTACGTGTGACACTAAATTAGAAGATCTGTTGAAGTATATCCGAAGGAGTTTTCTATAGTAAGAGAGAGTCTTAAAAGATGGAGTTATTAGAGCAACATTGTGGATACATTAGGTAAGGAAAATATTTTACATCATAACGTAGTTTAGAGGTCTTGGAATATAGAGTCATTACAAGAACATCTACTTAAAGATCATAATGGTGAGAGCAATTGCCACAACGAATGCAGCAACAGTAATCTGCAGCTTCAAACCGTTTTTTATGCCGGTTATCTTCTTCTGCAGCTCGTCAACTAAAGTCACCAACTTGGCAATCTTCTCATCGATGTGAATCTTGTTCTGATTGAGTTGTTCAATTTCTGCTTTGGCCATATAGAAATCGTCAATGTAAGTGAATAGCTCGATCTTCTCTAAGAGTGTTCCGTAGTCCTTATTGATGAGGGTAAGCTCCTCTAGGATTCCCTCGTCCAGCCACTTCCATATATGGCAGTCTCCGTCTCCTACGTTTGGGCAAGTGAAAAATCCCCTTCCGGGGTCCATTGTGGTACGGCAAGTATCGAGTATTGCTCGAGCTCCACAATAACATTGAGTCATAATGCCGTTTTCTTTGATTGGTACTGCATGCCGAGCTAATCTTCTCATAACACCACTTGAATCACTTCCCGTACTGGTAGAAGGTTGAGTGTAGCTATGAATGGCCATCTATACAAAAAATTACAGTCGCCGTCATTAAGAACCTAGATATTTCTAGGTTGATGGATGGTGATAGCTTAGTCTGAGACAATAAAAATCTCAGAAAAACCGATTTGCATTTGATCAGAACAACAACAGATTTGAGTTGCATCGTCAGAATTTCAAAACTACAAAAATTCACGGAAGCAAGCTTTGTACATTAAGACTAGTAAACAGGTTTCAGATCTGATGAATGACGCTATTACCTTTGTAGGGAGTAGAGATCCAATGTCGACGGGTTTGGTAGTTTGATTGATGTCGGGAAATGTATGGGATGGCCTATTAAAGGTTTTGTGGAGGCCAGTAATTTCAATTGAGAAAGGGAATACTAGATGGGAGAACTTGGAGAGGCGCTTAGGGGTCAGGGTGAGGTGTTTTGTGTAGGAGTTGTTTTTTGTTCTTGGGCGGAGTAGTTGATTTATTGGTAGATGGACGAATTGATTTTTAATTGTTTTTTTAATTTAGATACGGGTTGTCTAAATATGTGCATGGACAGGTCTGGTGGACGGTTTTGTGCACTGTTGGAGATTTGTTGAAGGGACCGATGAATGTTATTGTTATAATGTTTAATTACACAAAGTATGTCTTCTATCCGGTGGACGCTGAGTCGTGGAACGTTTGGGCAGGATATTTATGTAATTGCACATTATAAAATTAGACGGTTGTCCTAGATTCTGTCGGATTGGGCGATAGTGGTGTAGTTAAAAAATGGGATGTGAATGTATATGCATGGATAAGTGCGTGTGTACGTTGGGTTTAAAAGATCTGTGGCTTGTATATGTTAAAAGCATGTACTATTCTGGGTGGATGCTGAGTCATGGACGTAGGGGAAGGATGTTTGTGTAATTAAACATTATAAAACTATATGGTTGCCCTAGTTATTACCATCTATTAATAGTGGTTAATCTGGCTATGAGTTCTATGTAGAAGTCCAACATATATGTAGCACTAAAATCCCGAAGTAGAGATGGGTGACAGTGGTAGTTCAGATTCTAATTTGTACTACCGTAGAAAAGAAGACATTGAAGGGCCGCTTTGTCATTGCTGCCGAGTGACGACGATGACTAAGTCTTGGACAACCGATAACCCGGGGAGAAAGTATTTCAAATGTGCGAAGCATGGATTCTACGTTTGGTGCGAGAGAGAGAGAGCTGAAGGGTGGGAGCGAGAGAGTCTTCTAGAGTGCCGCGATCAGATCCAGCGTCAATCCCAAGAGATAAAAGAGCTGAAGGATGCAGTTATTGCTGCGTCGCCAATTGGGGTGTCTTCTGCCGTTACTCGGAATGTATCTCACGGAAATGTTTCTAGTAGCCCAAATGGGGAAAACATGATTGCTTTGCTGGAGAAGGAGAGGTTGCTACGACAGTTTGTCATGTTCTCATGGGTGGGGGTAGTTGTTTCGTTGGGTCTTATCTTTGCTGTCGTGAAAAAGTAGATCTGCGTAATTGTAGTTTGAGTATCCGTTAGGACATTTTGTATGTACACTTTTTCATGGAGAAGATTTAGTGGATAATGAATTGTGCTGGGTTTATTGTGGACAATGTAGTATGTGAATTGATGTTGTAACAGAGGCAAAGATGATGTCGAAGCATAAACAAAGATTGATTAAAAATCAGTAATGGGGGTTGTAGCTACCAATAGGAATCGATTGTATAGGTGGTGCAACGTTGTTGAGGTATTGCTTGTATTTTTGGCGAAGATAGTGTTTACGGGTGTTATACTCGCTAGAGGCTTTACGAAATGTACATTAACAAATGTACACAACGATTGTTCACTTGTGATGGTTGTCCAACCGAGAACCGCTAGAGAGTAACATGCATATGTAGTACGTGTACATTGTTATGTCGATAGTGAAAGAACTGTACATCCAAACGTGTCCACGTAACATGGGCGTTGTTTTTTGTAATGTGAATTTATACTAGAATGTGTACACGTAACATGAGCGTGTTCGTGGCGATTAGTAAGTATAGCGATTGTGTGGCAAAATGCCAAAAAAGTAACCAAAAAGTATCATGAACAGGTTAAGTGGATAATGAATTGTGGACGGGTTGGTGTGTACAAGGTAGTATATAAATTGATATTGTAGCAGAGGCAAAGATAATGTTGAAACAAACACAAATGGTGAGATCAGTAATGCGAGTTGCAGCAACCTATAGGAATCGCTTGTATTCGTGGTGCAACATTGTTGAGGTATCGCTGTATTTCCAGCGGAGATAGTGTTTACGGTAGCCGATTTATGAAATGTATATCAAAAAATGTACATAAATAAGTGTATGTGTATGATGCTTGCCCCTCCGAGAACCCGGTAGAAAGTACCGTCCATATGTAGTACTCCTACATTGTTATGTGCATGTTGAAAGAAATGTACATTCAAGATTGTCCACATAGGCGTTGTTTTTTGTAATATGAGGTTGTGCTAGAATGTGAAGCATTTGGGTGTTTTCGTGCCCTTGTGGTGTGTATTTGTTTGACATGGTATAGTAATTAATAGAACTGGAATATGTGTACATTGCGATTAGTAACTACAGAGAATGTGTGGCGAACAGCCATTAAAGTAACCAAAAAGTACAACTAGTGTTTAGAATGTGTTACACAGGAAGGATTTGATACTTATAGTCCTTAGAGGCTATGCGAGACTGAGTACCTAAACAGTCCAAAAGTAGAGTTTGTTAGGGCCGGCATACAAAAAGGATTTAGACGGCCATCCGGTAAACTACAAAAGAAGTAGTGGCTGAGCACTTAAGCGGTTGGGTTGAGGTAGATAGGAATGACAAAATCATGGTATATATCCATTGCGTACTGCTTACGGAAGTTATCGACAAGGGCGTCAGTGAGGCCGAACATGTGTGGGTTGGGGTCTCCTGCGGCGTGCATTTCCATGAACTTAACAGCCACTAGCCCACAGTCTCCAGTTCGTTTGTTGATGTATAGGTCCTGGTTCCTGTTCCACACATAAGGATTAAGACCGGTACCTTGTGATGCTTGTGGGCATAGGCTGTTGACCGCGTAGGGCAGCATTTTATAAATGGGACGCATCCAACTATCAACTTTCCTCTTGTTATTAAGCGTGGGCAGTGGGTCGAGAATCTCAATGCTGCCTAAGCTGGTGTTGTTTGCCAGTCCGACCCAGTGTTTCTGGTCACAACACATCGGGACGTAAATAGTCTGCATATCCCTAACCCACCTCGAGCCTGATGCCTTTACAATTGGTTTAAGTTCTTCCCACCGGAGGCATTTGGGGTCCTTAGCAGCGGAGAACTTGCGTTGCTTGGCAAGGAAATAACCGATGAGACTCGGATCGCAGAAAGAAACAACTTCTTTGTCAACTGTGGATGTGTGTTTTGTGCGTAGCCAAGCCATGAGGACCTCCATATGTTGTGTTAGATATAATGTTAGGGGACCCAAAAATTGGTTGTATGTGGTTGTACGTAGGTGTTGGTGTGTTGGCTTACCCTTGTGGATGTCCATC